GAAATAGAACGAAAATCAGAAATTTTTATCGCCTTGCGAAAGCGAAATGAGATAAGTCGCTTTTTAATTAGGGTTATTAATTCTACGTTGTTAAAATTTTTAATTATTACTCATTATCATTTTATTAAATTGATTTGCAGTTGTAATTTAAAAGTTACGCATATTTGCAAAAATTTTATTAATTCGACATGATTTCTAATAAAATTCAATACTTTATCGTTTATGATATAAGAAATTATGTATTTTATAGACATTATAGAAAATTATATATAGTTTTAAATAATTACAATTGGTAGCGTTAAATTTGTAAATATAATTGATAAAATAAATTTGTAGCGACAAGTTGTAATTATTCAAACTTTGATGCAATTTTCGAAGTTTTTTATAATTGTTAAATTAAAAAAAGTTTATTCTTTTTACTTAAATACTAATTACTCTTGCTATGTTATAACTAATACAATAAAAACAATAATAAAAGTTTAAAAATGTTTATAGAATAAATGCAGCATATTGCTCAACTAATAAATAAAAAATTCTTCATTTGTATATTATTTACCTATTTTTATAATAACATTTCTAATATATATAATTTCTTAAATTATAGTTATTGTAAAAATTATTTATAAAATTAACAGCAAGTTTAATTTTTGTATATAAAAAATTAATGTATTTATTATTTTTGTTTTGCAAGAATAATATAATGACTGAAAATTTTCCTGAGCAAGCAGATGTGGTTGTTTTAGGTACTGGGTTATGTGAATCTATGGTTGCTGCTGCTCTATCACGTATTGGGAAAAAGGTAATTAATATTGATCGAAATAGTTATTATTCATCACAATGGACAACATTTAGTTTTAATGCTTTACAACAATGGGCAAGTTTTCACCAAACAAATCATAGTAACCATAAAATTATTGAGGGAAGTATGAGGATACCGTTATTTGAAGAAAATGTTATATCCAATGTTTTTATACATTCTTGTATTCCCGAAAAAAACGCTGAATATTTTGAAACTAAATTTGAAGAAAAAACTGATCAAAAGGAAAATAATATAAATGAATCAGTTGAAGAAATGGTAAATGTATTTCCAGAAGTATATATTGAAACAAAATTAGATAAATTTAATAATCCTGTTCATAATCATAATCCAAACACTAGTTTTAAAAATTCAGACAACCCAACGATGAATAGTTACCACAGTGCAAATCAAATGCACTTAGATACTAAAATTTTGAGTAATTTAGATGATGTGATTCCAACAGATTTTGAAAACAAAATTCTAGATAAATCTGATAATTCAAATCCATTGAACTTAGACAACACAGTTTCAAATAAGTCTGATAATACAAATCCAATTAAATTAGACAATCCAATTTTAATTAACTCTGATATAAGTCCAATGAATGTTAAATTTGTAAATAACAAGAAGTCAGAAAAAAGTATATCATGTCAAGCAAAAGTATTAAAAGGAGATGGTATTACTTTAGAGGATTTTCAAATGCTTTCTCATAAGTTTAATCTTGATATTTGTTTTAAGCTTCTTTATTCAAACGGACCATTAGTGAACACTATTATCAAAGCTAATATTTCTCATTATATTGATTTTACAGTTGTAAACAGAATAGTTATGTTTATGGATGGAGCAGTTGTAGAAGTGCCTTGTAATCGCTCAGATGTATTTACCAGTCCAATTTTAGGTGTTATTGAGAAACGTCATTTAATGAAATTTTTGACATATTGCTTTGAGTGTGTTCTGGAAGAATCTGAATTAAGTGAAGAGTTATCTCTTCCTTTTGTTGAGTTTTTAAAAACAAAACAGTTGTCAGAAAGTCTTCAAAAATTCATTATTTACTCTATAGCAATGGTAAAACCAGAGATCAAAGCTTTACATGCTATAAAAGAAATAAAATATTTTTTGATGTCACTTGGTAAATATGGTAAATCACCATTTATCTGGCCTTTATATGGTATTGGTGAATTGCCACAAGCTTTTTCCAGAATGAGTGCAGTATTTGGAGGTGTTTATTGCTTGAATAAAAATGCTGAAGAAATATGCATAGACTTTGAATCTAATAAATGTACAGGATTAGTTATTGATAATAAGATAATTAAATGTGAACACATTGTAATGGAGAAAAGCTACCTTCCAAGTTACTTTAAGTCTAGCCCCAAGGCCGAATCAATTTCAAGAGCTATACTTATAACAAGCAAATCATTACTATCATCTGTGGAAGAATGTTTAACATTTATGACTATTCCTCCTGTAGATGGAAAAATTAATTTAGTAAGAGTTTTAGAGCTTGGTCCTTCTTCTTCTGCATGTCCTGCTGGATTATTTATATTATATCTAGTTTGTAACCAAGACCAAACAGCAAAAGAAGATCTTGAAGTTTATACTAAGTTGTTAACAGAAGGTTGTACAAGTTGTCTTGCTAATGTTTCCAATGATGGGAAACCTCGTTTACTATGGTCTTTATACTTTAATCAAAATAGTGATTGTTTTTATGAAAATCTTCCTGAAAATTTGTTTGTTGGTTCAATGCCAGGAAGCAGTTTAGGGTTTCAAGCAGCAGTTAAAGAGGCTGAAATGATTTTTAAATCTATTGCTCCAAATGAGAACTTTATGATACCTGTGCCAAATCCTGAAGATATATTATGGACTGATTATGATGATGCTACTAGTAAAGAAGACGAAATTGTAAATACAGAAGCATGATTATGTTTGTATAATTGAATTTTTATTAAAAAATAAGCAGTTTTGTAAGTTTTGTGTATTAAAATAATTTTTTATTTCATTTTTTATTTTTAAAAAAACAGTTATTTTTATATCTTTTTAATCATCAATATATATATATATATATATATATATATATATATATATATATATATATATATATATATATATATCTACTATAGCATATATAGACCAGCAAATGCTTACTAGTTTTGCTTATCTTTATAGCATACAACCTTTTCAGAAAAATAAAAAAAAAGTTAAATAAAAGATTGATGTAGCAACAGTCCCTTGCAGCAACAGACTATAAGATAATCAATGTATTTACTGAAGCCCTTGGTAGTAGGCTATTTCATTTGTACTTATCCAAACACGCATTTTTAGCTGTACACACACACACACACACACACACACACACACAAACTGCCTAGATTAAAGTCAGGATTTTAAAAATTAAAGTAAAGTATGTCAAGGCAAAGATAGCCTAAATCTGTAGGAATAGTTAGAAAACATTTAAAAAAAACAAAACTTTTTTTTAAATTAATTCAAGCTATGTTGCATATTTTTTTAATCTTTAAAAAAATTTTTAACTTTTGCAACATGGCTTAGAAGTGTTCTTAAACAAGTATTTTTTTTAACATTACTCTTTGATGCTAAAATAGAAAAATTTTGTTATTGTTTCTTTTGTTTATTGTATTTACATTTTTGTAAAATATTTAAGAAAACAGTATATTTGAAAGTTTTTTTTAGCCTATTTGTGAAAAGTCTAATTTGTTTGAATCCATATGTGATAAGTTGAAATTTTAAAAAATTTCTATTTCTTTTAAGTTGAAATTGGGATTTAAAGGATTTAAATAATAAAAGAGAAATTAAAAAAAAAGATTTATTATATATCAAACTATATCTAAGTATATTACTATATATTATATATTATATTACTATATATTATATATTAAGTATATATTACTATATATTATATATTAAGTATATTATATATTAAGTATATTATATATTATATATTAAGTATATTATATATATTAAGTATATATACTATATATTATATATTAAGTATATTACTATATATTATATATTAAGTATATTACTATATATTATATAACTATATATTAAGTTGTTTTGAGTTCAATATTTTTGTAATGTGTTTATATAAAATGATTTATAAAAAGGAAATATTTTAAAAATGTATAAGTTAAATTAAGCGTAAAAAAGTAATAATTTTTTTTTTTATAAACAATATTTTTTATGTTATTTTCTTGCCATTATCATGAAATTAATTTGCATTTACATTAACTTTTTTTTACTATCTTTTATTTTTCAATCTATTAACCTTGTATGGTTTCATATAAGGTTATTAAAGCTTTAAAGTAAGGCTTTTTAAAAGTTCTTACAATATCCTTAGTAAGGTTGAAGAAGTAAGGTTTGTAATGCTTCTCTAATGAACTTTGGGGTGAAAGCTTTAAATGTGATTAATAGTTTAGTTTGCTGACTTTTTAAATAAAAATATAGTACATTTTTTTGACAAGATAATTGTAAGAAAATCTAAATACTTATAAATTAAAGTTTAAATATTAAAAAATCATTATACAAAACAGTTTAACTGGTAAACATCTAACATGAATAGTTGCAATAAAAATGAATAGTATTACAATTAGCTATTATATCTATCAAATTTGTTTTTACATCAGATAAAACAACAAATATACAAAGCTACTTAAATTAATAATTGACTTCATTTATATAAAATTAAAAATATGAACCTGCTTTAAGTTAATTAATGGTTTCATCTATATAAGATGGAAAGATTTTGCATTAGCTTTATTACTTAATCTAGTTATTTGATATAAAAAGTATTTTTCTTCAAAGTGATAATAGTTTATGAGGGGGTTATATTGAATTTATCAATAGGAGGAGTTATTTAAGTTATTTATTATTAAGTTAATCTTTTAATGTGATCTAGAAACAATCATAATCTTATGATAATTTCTACTTAAGTTAATCAAGTTATTGCTTGTTTACAATTATAAACAAAATATTATTAGATGAAAGTCACATCATTTTGGTATATTTTCAGATTTATTTTAGAAAAATGTACTTTCTGATTGATGTAAATAAATTTCAATTTTTTTTTAGATTAAAATAAATGGAAAAAAAGTCTATAATTTTTTTTTTTTTAATGAGGCATTAGTAATGTTGACAAAAATGCTCTAATTGAAATTTGAAAATATTTTTCAAGTGACTATGTTTTCAGGTAAGCTCTTTTAATTTTTTTATTTTTTTTTAAACTAATGTAGTTATGAGTTTGTTTGTTGTTGAATATATATAGTTAATTTATTTGTTGTTGAATAGTTTGTAGTTATAAATTTAATTTAAAATTAGTAATTTTTAAAATTTACTTATAAATATTCATAAAATTTATTTAATGTAGTTAGTAATTTTAATAATTATATTATTTATCGTAATTAATATTGTTAAGTAATGCATTAAAATAGTTTATCTAATACATAAAAAATAATTTTGGAAAGGAAAAATAACTCATAAACTTTTTATTCAAATTATTAGAAATATGTTTTGAAATTGTTTTTAAACTTATATAAAATGTACTTTAATATATTTTATAATATAGTTAAGGTATAAACATAAAGAACTTTAAATTTAATTACAAGAACTTTAAATTTTTTTTTTATATTAACAATAGTAGATATGTTGATGCACAGCATGTAACTCATAAAATGTTGTAATCATTTGATAAGATACAACAATTGCACAGTGGTTTTTATGGCAGACATGAATGTAGTGAATGTTTTGAAATTAAAATTTAACAAAATTTACTGAATATAAAATTATATGCAGATTCTAATGAAAAAAACTAGAAGTAGATATTTTTTCTACTTATATTATGACAAATTAACGTAAAACGTTTAGGAATTACATATCAGTCATTATAAAGCCTAATAGGGTATAGTAAGTGATCCGGGTTAAAATTTGACTGGGACTGGATATTGATATCAGCATATAAATAAGTCTTTATATATCCATTCTGACCCTCCAACTATATTCTAAAACTCTACTTTCTGTTATCTTGTGTCTTTGATTCAAAAAACATCCCATTATTCAATTATGAGTCAAATAACTTCCTGGCAGGCAACAAAAATAAAAAGAAAATAAAGTTTGGCATGCTGGTCTTCTCCATAAGCTTGCTTCTTATGGTGAATCTGAGAAAATTTTTGAGATTGTCAAATCATTTTTTTCTAACCACCTTATCAAAGTTGTTCTTGAAGGCCAACACTTTTAATAATTTTCAGTAATTTCTGGGGTACCTCAAGGTTTTATCATCTGTCATTTTTTTTTTTTTTCTACATATATTTAGTACAATTATTTTTTTTATTTCTTCTTACATCTAAATCTTACATCTAAAGTGGCTTGATTCTTTGATGACTCAACTTTATACTTCTGTCCTAATAAAATATTTTCTCTTTTTGATTGCTTAGAACAGGCAGCTGACCTTAAATATTATTAAACTTCTGTTACAGATTAGGGCTTGTAGTAGCCAGTGAATTTTAACTCCAACAAAATTCAGTAATTTACTGCAAACAGCTATTGTAATACTGCCGACATTCTTATATTGATGAATGGCAACCCTCTCACCGAGTCCTTTATTTTACGTCTTCTTGGATTTCATTTACAGCTGACCTCATTTCCTCATGGAAACTATATATACAATTGGTTGCTAGGGAGTCTAAAAAAGCATTGTAAATATAGTTGAGCTTTCTCTATCTTCCAAGTTCAGCCTCTCTCCCATTGTCTTAAAGCTGCATCTGTTTCAATTTTTACAAATACCATTTTGGTTGCTACTCAATAAATCTATCATCCCTAGTTTCATGAACCAAAAATCAATCGCAATTGACTAGTAATTTAGCTAAGTCTCGTTCTTTTACTGTATCTGTCCCTGCATGCTCTAAAAAATTTTATTGACATGTTTTTTTCCTTGCACTTGATACGTTTGAAACTTTTTACCTTCTTTATGTTTTACTGACTTATATAACTTGTATTTATAAAGTCTACTGTCAACTCTTTCCTTGGTCTTTAACTATGTTCTTTCTATTAACTTCAAACTTATTAGTGGTTGCTTGCAGTCTTCTTTGGAGTGAATTAGAATATTAAAAAAAAATTATTTAATGAATGCACAAAAGTGTCTCTTACCTAACCTCCTGGATCCAAGCAGGTAGGAAGCTTTTCTTATTGGCGGATTTAACTCAAGCCTCATTCTATTTCACATTTTTCACTTTCTTGTGCAGTTGTTGTAATCTTTTTTTTCATTTTTTTTACAAGAATATCCCTCACACTGACCTCTCAAACTATCCTACAACTAGTCTTCTCTATTATTATGTTCTCTATATAAAGGTTTTAAGATTATTAAATTATTGTTTTTAACCACAGTATTCAAGTCATTCTTGAATACTGTGGTTAAAAACAATAATTTAATAATCACAATCTTAAAGTGGCTCTATTTGCTGACAACTCAACTTTATACCTTAATCTGATCTTTCTTCTGTAACAGCTTGGGGCTTGCAGTGACTTAAGGATTTTAACTCTAAAATAGTTATTTGCTGCAAACAACTACTACAATATTGTTGACAAACAACTACCACAATATTGTTGACCAATATTGGCTAATAACAACCCTCTCACTTTCTTTTTTTTTCTACAAACTTTTATGGTTGCTGCTTAAACAAGCTATCATTTCTAGTTTGATCAACCAAAACTTATTAATGCTAGGCTTGTCATAAGGCAAATTTTAATTTGTTTACTGTATCATTACCTTCATGCTATAAAATTATTATACATCGTCTTTTTTTCTCACACATCAACAAAACCACAAATTCTCACCCATTTTCATGTTTAGTTTAGCTCATACAACCTACATCTTTTAAAGTTTTTAATTGTTTCCTTTTTCTTTAACTTATAAAGTTAAAGAACAAGGAAACAATTCTTACTCTAATAAAGAACAATAGTCTTAGAGAGAACTAAAGTCTTGGTTCCTAAAGAGAGCAACAAAAATGTGGTGTATTTGGAGAGTCAGTGGTATATATTTTAGGAGAGGACATTTATGCTTGACGTGTCACAAAACTACTTTTGAGTATTTTTTTTTAAGCATTTAACCAGAAATTTCACGCCTCATTTCTTATCAATCATGCATATATGGCTGTAGCAGGCTTCCTACCATGGACCTCCAGTTATGAAGCCAGAGCTCTAACCACTACACCATGACTGCTTAATTTAACTACTTATTACCCCAAATAAACCTAATGTCTTGATTATGCAATCATTTATTTGCCTAATAATATTCTTAAGAGAATTGTGGCTATGAAAATAGATGTTTTCTTTTTTGAAGAGTTTAGCTGCCTAAAAGAAAGAAATTCATAGATGCGTATCATCTCATTAAAGCATTAATCTCGTATCATCTCATTAATGCTCTGTGTTCTGAATCAAAACTTTGCAATCATACCTAAAATAAATTGAATCTAATTTATATATGAAAATGATAACAGAAATATTATAGGTATAATCATAGTTCAATCATGTGAAATTGGTGGCAAAATATCCATGAGCAAACTGATAAATTGTATTAAACTAACTTTAACTTCTCTAAATCACATTCAATATAACAAAAGCATTTTACTTGAAAATATACTACAAAATATACTTACATAATATACTTAGTATGCAATCTTATTATCATTTTCATTATTCTATATATTTAAGTAACACATAATTGTAGATGATTTTGATTAAACTGATTTACTTAAGTTTAAAACATATATTAACTCTAAGCACCTATAACCTTTAGAGTTAAAAGGCTCTATACTCTAAACAATGTCTAATAACAAAATTGTATAAATATATTATCAGCATTAATATACCTTATGATTTAACAATTTGCACACATCACACCCGTGTTACAATTTATTCATGATAATAGCATGTTAGTGACAAAATCATACCACATGTGACAGATATTTTGGCCAATAACATCACAAAAAAGAATGTCTTCACTATCAGTAGCCTCATTTTTTCTATATCAGGAAACAAGTTTTATTAGCTGAGATGCAAAAAATTTTAAAATCCTTTTATAATTTTTTATTTTTTTTTTTCTCCTTTTTTTGAAGCTCGGCAGCCATTTGTTTAATCAGTTCTATCTTCAATTCCTCATGCTTTTGTATGTTTACAAATCGCTTTTTTCTAGCAGTGGAGAGGGCCTATAGTATCAAATTGTTTCCAACATCAATAGGTTTTTCATAGAGGAAATCAGTGGTTTTATTTTTGCATGCACGCACTTTTGCTGATAAGAAACAAAGAGTAGCATTTAAAGCTTTTTGCTTTGCAGCACTAAACATACCCATAAGTTCTTCTGAGTCAATGTTGTGAGGTCATGTTGATAATGTCTGGGCTTTAAGTTTATCAGTTGTATTCAAGTTAAACAGTTGCTGGTTGGTCAAAACATTCGGTCAATGACATTAACAGCAGCACTCAATCAGCAGGCTAATGTGTCTCTCATTTCATCAGTCCTTGGAGAAATGTTAACAATAGAATCAAACACAGAATCATTAATACAACCACCAAAAAAGTCTGTAGTTCAGTTTAATAAAGAAAGAGCATTCTTCTAAGAATGTTGCGAACTTCTTTAACCACTTCAACACCAAATAGTCAAATCCCTGACTTTGTGTAGCATAGAAATTGGGTATCCAAAGACCAGTCAATAATTTTGCGATTAAACCTATTGCACACAGCTCGTGTATACCTGAAAATGAATATATAAATGTGAGAAAAAATATATATACAGTGGGGTGCAAAAAAAAAGCCACCCTCAATTTTTTTATAAAAACAACAACAACAAATGTCTAAAACTCATATAATGTTACTTCTATTACAGCCGATATTGATAAAAATGTTTATAATATAATTGTATATTAGATATAATAAAAAGTAATTAGGATTTGTAAAGTATTTTTTAGGTTAAAGCTATTTTAGTATTTAATTGGCCATCCTTTGTTTCTTATGACTTCTGCACATCTAGAAGGCATACTATCTACAAGTCTTTTTAATAAATCATTTGGCAAAGCATTCCAACCATCAAGAAGAACTTGGAGCAGATCATCTTCGTTTGTTGCCCTACGATCTTGCAATTTTTTATCCAAAATAGACCAAAGGTTTTCTATTGGATTTAAATCAGGAGACTGTGCTGGCCAA